TATGGCTCGCATGGCTCAGTGGCTCGCGTGACTCGCTGGCTCGCATGGCTCGCGCATTGGCTCGCATGACTCGCTGGCTCGCACTTTGGCAGTACTCATTTCTGGTTTGGTATTTTAAAGTGAAATTGAAATGTATAGCTTAGGCCTAGATTCATTTATTATCATCTTACATATTACAACTGTATGTACGAGACAGCAAACAGTGAAAATCGAAACAACATTATAAAATGCAAGACAACATTTAACTGATATAATAATAAATATATAACGCCGTGGCTAGAGATACGGTACCGTATCGGAACTTCCGATTGCTAAAGGTACGGTAAATGATATTAAGTCATGATTAGCCAATAGAAATGACCGACTCGATTTTGGCTTTTTTGCAAAGTCGACGTCGTGATCATGAGAAACGTGGCGTGAACAGTTTTACGATCAAATTTATGTCAAAACTTTAGGTCCATTTCATGTATTTCGATTGGGGCTTATCACAATGTTTGGGTTAAAAATCCATTCTGTTATTCTGGCGTATTTTATGGTCTCATAGAGAATGCTCTACTAAGGCTAGGCTTAGGCCTAGGACCTAGCCCGAATACCCGCCTAGGGACATATTCCTACTTATAGGCCTACTACGTACTAGGCTAGGCTTAGTACTGAAGTGCTACTACTAGGGGCCTAGCCTAAGCCTATAGAATAGTAGGCACTAGTTATTATAGCTGATTGAAATAGCCAACCAAGCAACATGGCGATTGTAATTATCAGTGATAGTAAACTTAATTTGTAGTAGTAGATAATAGGCCTACAGTGCGTACACTACAGGGAATTACTGTAGTATGCACAGTACACTAGCCAAGGCGGGCCTATTGTATGAACAGTGCATGAGCTGGGTCAGGTCGAAATTCGAAATACGAAGAACTATACGAAATACGAAGAACTTTACGAAATACGAAATACAAAGGACTTTATTGCAATCTCTCATTCAAAATTGAAGTTTACTGTAACAAAAGGGGAGAAAAACATTACAAAACAACTTCACAACCCCACAAAACACATAAATATTCTACAATAAAGGCATTACAATTAATTAGGCAACATTAAGTAAAAAATTCAAGTACAAAAATAAATAATTCGCTAAATAATTAAAATTTAAATGACATTTAATTTACAATTAAGATAAAAAATTATTGCAACAGGAAATCTATAAGAAAATTCAGACCGACACCTAAACCAACCAAAAGACTGGCTTGCGAAAAGTTAAAGGAAAAACTCATTTAAAAAGACCTCGCCAGAGAGGAGGGCCCGGTTGTACAGGGATGACCTACCAGTTATTGACCAAACCAGTATTTGTTATAAAATTCTTCGTCATAACTCATGGTACTTGCTTGTTTCTGTAAATAAACTAACTGTAGTCTTTTCTATCTGTCTTTATTTTTGTTTCCTTACAGCACAGTAAAGAGGGGGGGGCTTCTTGTCAAAATGAATGTTGTGCATTTTGTAAATTTGTACTATGAAATAATAAGGCCAGTGTACATCAATCTGTATCATGGAATGTGTTTTACTGGCATTAAATTGCTTAAATTACTGTTAATAAACCAAGCTTGTTTTTAATTAATTAATTAATTTTTTTTGGAATTCAGTACAATGTATGTACTGAACTCTCTTGAAAAGAAGCCTATGCTGTCATGGGCTTCTTTTCGAGGCTAATTTTGCAAACTAAGGAGGGAGGCTTCAATCCGAGGTTTTTACGGTATAGTAAATACTTTTAGTATAGAATATAGTCTGGTTTCAATTGCAACACTTTTTAAATTATTCGTATTTCACAATGCATATTCGGTTTTGTTTATAAATGGATATAGTACTGTACATACTTTTATTATAATCCAGTTAAGTAAAAATTTTTAATAAAGTGCAACTATGTTATTGTGTTATACCATGCATGAAGTGTAAGGGGCAACAGTGTTTACATTTTTAAATGTAATTTCCATTCAAAAAGATTTTACTTGTATGAAGTGTTGTAATGGCAATACTCTGTTTGATTTATTTAAGTACATGGATCAGCCTTTTCTTGAGTGTAATAATTTGCTTGTCGTCTCACTAAAGTCCTCAGCAAAACTGGAAAAATTCATCTCTAAATTGCAAATACTGTAGGGCCTCAAGAAATTTCCCCACATAACCTACATTCCATAGGCCCTAGGAGTTGTTCTTACTGGTCAAATATCATTTACCATACCTTTAGCAATCGGAAGTTCCGATATGGTACCGTACTGTATCTCTAGCCACAGCGAATATATAATATACTGTATGAAAATATGTACAGTACTACACATGGAATTATTCATGGTTGAACTATGTTTCGTGTGATCCGGGAGATTATGGCATAGAGTACAGTACAGTGAAAAAATGGTAAACTTAATCATGAAATTATCTACTCAAGTGTTCATAAGACTCCTATTGCACATGGTAAAAATGAGTAGCCCTACAGTATATAGCGGTTGGTACGTAAGTTGGAATTATTCTCCCAGCTGTACTAACTGTTATAAACTTGTTAAGTAGGCGAGTTTTGTCTCTTTACTTTGTCCTCAATTAAAAATCTAAGCAAAACACTTAATAGAATACTGTTGCATGAATTTTTGTTTCTTTAAAGTTAATGCAGCATGGTAGATGAAGGTGTTAGTGCTGAGAGTAAAGACAACATGACTAGCAGGTTGACGTATGTTGGGAAATTGATTCTTGCTCCAATGGTTAGAGTTGGTACATTACCTATGCGCCTGTTAGCCTTGGATTATGGAGCTGATATTGTGTACTGTGAAGTAAGTAGTATCATTTATAGTAGATGTTTAGTTTACCTTTTTAATGCAGGCACACACTTCACTGATATGAAGCAGGTCCGGATATTTGCAATGAGGGTGGTCCATACACTGTGTAGATTACAAAAGAGGAATTGGGAGAGGGTGTCCCAATGGCTGGATGATTAAAAGTCTTAAATTAGAATTGACTGTCCTCTGTTATTATTTTCAGAAGCCCTTCTGTCTTCCTTCTTATCTTTAAGACTATTTTTTCACTCAAAAAAGACATTTTAAAATCTCAGTGAGTCCAGACATCACCAAATTTCCACTGGTTGTGCCCCAGTTATTCATAACATATGATAGTAATTTTTGATTATTTCTTGTTCTTAGTTTTATTCCAAATCATGGGCTAATGAACATTTTCTATCATATTTTTTTTCATTGTTTTATATCCTAAGGAGCTAATTGATCACAAATTACTAAGAAGTACAAGAGTTGAGAATGGTAAGTTGGCAAACTGTATGGTAATGAATTCGGAAGTGGTATCTGGTATTACTGACATTTTGAAAATCTCACTTTAAACTTCAGACCGTAAAACACTAATTTTTTTTCTTCTTATATGAAGAGGTCCTAGGTACAGTAGACTTTGTTCTGGATGATGGTACAATTGTATTCCGGACATGTGAAAAGGAAAAGGACACTGTGGTGCTCCAAATGGGTACATCTGATCCACAGAGGGCACTTGAAGTTGCAAAGCTAGTGTGAGTAGACACACATGTATACTGTGCTGTTTCATCCATTCATATGTTTTAAGCCAGGCTCGAGAGGAACATTTTTTTTTATATGTTGTAGGACACAAAAAGCATATTTGACGAAGAACTTGGAAGCGGTTAATGAGATACAGATTTTTGTTTATTTAAAAACTGGGGGGAAATGGGCATAACCACCCTTTTTGTCAACCTATTCCCCCAGTTTTTAAATATCCAAAAATCTGTATCTCATTAAACGTTTCTGAGTTTTTCATCAAATATGGTTTTTGTGTCTTAGAAAAATGAGTTGTACAACATACTAAACAAAATTTCTGTGGAGCAGCTGACTTTATGCTCTGTCCAGACTATCATATTTTCATGATGTGTCTATATATGTGGCAAAGACAAGCCAAACCAGTCACTGGTCACAAAATTCCCACTACAGTGGGAAACAGTAAAATGACAGCTATAAAATGGTAAAAGAATCATTTAAATCCGACATTTCCTTATAAATGAAGTTACAAGCATTTAAATATAGAGAGCTGTTTAATGAACAATATTTGAGAAATCAGCCTTCAAAGTTTATGATTTCGGGCATTTCTCAGGCAGAGACCATCAACAGTCGTTAAAAATTGTTGTTTTAACATTAAAAATAACAGCATGGGATGATGTATAAAGGTTAGTTTATAGACTTGCCACAAATCTCTTATTTTTTATTATTTTTCTCATTCTGGACAGCGCCACCAACGAGAAAGTTAATTTAAAGATAGACAGAATAAGCGACTTGTAAAACACTGAATGCAGGCACCAGGATGCCAAAAGAATGACGTAATCTTATATTCCGTATTTGGATAAATGGGCGAACCGAAATAAAAAATTTCAAACAATTAAATGTTCATATTTTTGGAGCCACGAAACTGAGTCACTCGCGTCGACTAGTTAGGCATGACTAAATTGGCTAGTTAGTTTAGTGCAGTAAAATAGATTGAAAAAATTATGACATTAGGCCACGTAAAATATTTGGTTAGCATCCTTCCCCGACCGTTGGAAAAGCCCCCGACCTGTGTTTTTTTTTTTTTTTTTTTTTTAACAAAACACTTAACAACTCTATCTCCAGAAGGCAATTTATATAGGCATAGGCTTGTTTACCATCTGTCCGAACGCTAGCCGGCTGGGCTTCTCCCTAGCAGTTCCATTCCATCATCATCTTGATTGTATCTAGAAAAGGCCTAGTTTTATAGTAGTAGTATAAAAAGAGAGTATATGTATACACGGTTGCCGATGCAAAGCATTAAGATTTACTCGGGATTAGGTTTATATTAGCAAACTAAACTCTGATCCGATGCTCACGTCTCATGCTTTGTGCTTTAGTTAGAGATAAAGCCATGTCGGCCAATCAGCGCGTTGGTATTTCCATCACTTTGGAAGTAGACAGCCACAGCGCGAAAAGAAACAAGGAAGAACGCTCTGTGCTGACCGGAAACAAGACAAGACATGACATGACAACAAACATGAATGCGCTCCTCAGTTTAAAACTGTGGTGTGTTCACTTACCTGTGTGCAATATTTCACGAAATAAAATTTTAAAGATAGTCTAAATAAATAAAGGTAGGATAGCATAAATAAATTTATTACTGGAAATATAAAATATATAGAGGTGAGATAGTGCATGCGTATATTAGCCAGCGAGCCGTCCGGCCTTCTTTTGGCCTGCCTTCAATTATTTAGGACGGCAACTTTTACCGTGACGGCTTGGCCTAATCAGCTCGGCCTAGCCTAATTGTGCCTGGTCTACCCTTAGCAAATTATTTATATTCTTCAAATCTATCGTATGTTACATTAAACTAAAGCTAAATCATTTTTGCAATTGATAAAAACAACATTTATTGATTGAATGTACGTTTTCGTACCAATAATAGGTGGGGATTACTAACGATGGGCGTGGCCCGCCTATCGGCTCAGTGCCATGCCCACTGGCTTCCATTTTGGACGGCCTATTTTGTTTTTGTGGTGAAACCCCTGCACGGCATCAATGATGACTGTTGTGTTGTTCCAACAACAAACTCAGTATGTTCCAGTTGTAATGTCCAGCAAACACAAACTTAAACACAAAGCATGGAATATTCACATGCTGGTACAATGACGTGATGTTTTATAGTTAATTTCACATCCAAAAGCAATTACACTCAACACTTAGAGGATGGAATACAGTATTATCGATATCTGTATCAGTTCTGTAAACATATACAGTGTTGCATGTTTTAAAACATCATATATAGGGATTTCAATATGACTGTTATTCATAGGCAAAGTTTATCTGCTTGCTTAGATGAATTACATGATTTCTTGTATCAAATTTTGGCCTCTGTTGTTTTCCTCGTCTTTGTTTTGCTAATTTTCCTTTCCTACGCTGGTTTTTCATGTTCGCCAAGAAAAAAAAAAAAAAAAAAAAAAACCTCCCTCCTTACCATGAAATTTGATACCTAAAGGATGCTAACCAATTATTTTTTTTCTAGAATCGACTAAAATGATTGGTCATTTACTAGAATCGACTAAAATGATTGGTCATTTACTAGAATCGACTAAAATGATTGGTCATTTACTAGAATCGACTAAAATGATTGGTCATTTACTAGAATCGACTAAAATGATTGGTCATTTACTAGAATCGACTAAAATGATTGGTCATTTACTAGAATCGACTAAAATGATTGGTCATTTACTAGAATCGACTAAAATGATTGGTCATTTACTAGAATCGACTATAAAGCCAAAGTAAGGAGTAAAAGTATTTCGGCTTCTACTGAAGTATACAATGCTGCCTCATTCAGGTGCTAATTACTCAGTTGAACAATTTGTGCAGTATGCTTGTTTTGGGATGGCAACCTCATATTAGTTACTAAAAGATAAACTACTAAAATTAAGGATTGTGAAAAGTTTTCAATTTATGAAAACAGGCATGCAATTTAAAAACATGCACATGGTGGATATTTATTTAAATATAACATTCAAATGAAATTTTAGTGCAAAAATTATTACAACATTTCTGTAATTTATAGGTAACAGTATATATTTATTTTTAAAAATTTATTTACAAAAATGTGAGAAAAAGTGGTTTGGCCATAAACGGTGCGGCTGACACAGTATTGATTGGTGTTCACTGCGGGCACAGAAATGGAGATAACTCTTTTAAGCTCTGATACTTGCACTAAGGGCGACATACAATACTATATGTTTTCGTTTTCACCATAGAGAGAATGATGTTGCTGGTATTGATGTTAATATGGGTTGTCCAAAAGATTACTCTTGTAAAGGAGGCATGGGAGCAGCTCTACTCACTCAACCAGAAAAAGTTAAGCAGGTACGGTAGTTCGATGCTAAAGATAGTTTATGCCATTTTCTTATAGCACAGATGACTGCTATTTTAGTGGGGATGATGTGTAAACTGCAAGAATTCCAATACCTTTTCACTGACAACTTTGTGGAAGCCTGTAATCTTTTGTCAATCATTTAGAGGGATAGATCCAGAGAGAGGGGACATTGATTACATTCCCCGTTTGCCACTGCCATTCTTAAATTCAATATGGCAATCCCATTAGATCTATATAAGATAGAATACAAATACAATCATTTACAATTTTACATAAAATAAACACTAAAATATAGCATAATTAGATGCTTTCCAGGGCAGAGACCTTGGACTGCCCTCTCTATCACTGCATTCCACCTGCCTGTTTATGTAGTTGACTAGTGTCAACTTCGTGAATACTTAACTGGATAAACCGACAAATTGCCTATTCTCGCTCATACATGAGAACACCCCTCAAAAAATACAGTCGAATCCTGGCGCCAAGCACAAGCAGCCCCCGCAACCATGCAACTCCCCCATTCTTTTCCGAGACTCGAAAGTGGCTACACCTCCTTTAAGGATTTTATCAATCTATTGATCTGCAACCTTGGATTATATATATTCTTAATGCGTCTCTTCATTTTACTATCCATGGTGATATACATCGGCACTGACGTCAGTTGATATTACAGTAGTAAAAACATGCAAATATTGTTAATTTGCGGGAAATGGTTTATCTTAGGGAGTCATTTTCGGGAGATCTGCGGTGACGGGGGGAAGGGGATTTGCACCAGGGAGGGACTTTTACAGGTGAAGCGTCTAGACCACCTCGGCCCACCATGGTTCAAGCTGAGATAAGATAAGTAATGATTATAGCCCCTTGGTCCTTGAATGGCCAAATTATTTTTAGAGTTGACCTCACAGGCCAAAGATAATCTTCAGCATATTCAAAGGCTTGCGCCATCAGTTTAACAGCCGTTAGTCAACTTAGGTGGGTTTGCTTTACCAGTGTAATTGATCACAATACAAAAGCCTACGATTAGTGTTTAGGCATATTTTTTGAAAAATACAAAACATTTTTATTACACTTTTTTTTATAAGAACCAGTAAAATTTTGCCCAACAGGCTCAGTGTTCTTATTTTTTGGCTGATTCCAGGCTCAAAATGTTCTTATTTTGTCCTTTGTTAAGCAGTTTTCAAATATACAAAATTATTTTTGTACCAGTACTGTATATGTACACTGTACTGGAATGTAGATAAAAGTGGCCCTGGAAAAAATGGCCCTTGAAAAAATGGCCCCTGAAAAAATATCCCCAGAATAGAGGCCCCAAATGACATTTAGGTACACCTACTGTACTGTATTATAGAGGGTATTAGTCACACCTACTGCACATAAGGTACATATATAACTTTTTGGTTTTCTAGTATTTTTAAAATAAAAATCTTATTGGACATTTTACCTCAGCCTCAATTTGTTCTTATTTTGTTCTTTATTTTTAAGTAATTTCAGCCTCAGTGTTCTTATAAAATGTGTTCTTGTTATAACAAAAAAAAAAGGTGTATCCCTGTAAAGTAAAGAACTATTAATGATCACAGTGAACAGAAGAAAACACTGAGACAGAACTTGACGGCACAAAATTTGGTCTAATATATAGTGTATGATTTGAAAAGAAGGCTATTAACGAAATACAGTGATCAGAAAAACTTGGCACCACAGAAGAGTCTTGTATGACTTACATTATTTGTAGGACAATCGAAATGAAATTTTTGATCACTGTTCTTTGGTTAAATCATAGTACGAATATCGTTGACAATAAAACCCAATAGGCGTATTTAAAAATAACCCAAGTCAATGATTTAACAATGGGCTTCTTCTACCGTGAGTCTGATCATGCATCAGGACTCTGCAGTCATTACAATTTCAACACATCTCCTGATGTTGAATCTAGCTGTGCCAATAAGAATACCAATCTTGGGAGTATTTTTATAGTTCTGTTTACAGGGTTTAATTTAAGATCTGAGTGGGGTAACCCCTACATCATAACACGTTTTTGCTTTTTGTTTTTTTTTTATCTTGTTTGAAGTCTTGAATTGGACCACAGAAAGCACCCAGTGATCAATTTTGGCGCTATTTAATCTACTTATTGCCTATATTATCTTGATCACTTTCAAAACATTCCCATGCACATTACCCAGGGGCTGAATTTTTGTTACTTTTAAGAAAATGTATTCCTCAAACTCTTAATATAGTGATAACCATCGGTACTGACTTCCGTGAGAAATTTTATAATATTAAAGCATTGAAAAAGTGCAAAATTATGAATTCGTGGAGATGGGTTACTTTCTGGGAGATTCTTGCTTGCTTGCGGAGGCTGTACCGATTTCCAGGAGACTCCTCCGAGTTCCGGGAGACTTGGGACCCATGTACCTTCATTGGAAATTTTTTCTTGCTTGCAGGAATCCTTCCAAATTTCCAGGAGACCCCTGCAACTTGTTAGAGATTTGGGACCCCTGTATAAAGCAAAGTTTTTTTTTTGTTTGGGGAGTGGGGGGTGGTGTTTATGGGCTCTGTTGGCACCTCATCCTTTTATCATTCCTCCTATTTTTTACTTACAGATTTTGACAACACTGGTACAAGGCTGCTGTAAGCCAGTGACCTGTAAGATGCGACTTCTGCCAAAGGTCAGTTCCGTGTCATAAAAGTGAGGTAATTTAGCCTTCCAATCCAGGCTTTCACTTAGGTTTGTCACACTCTTACCACAAGTTAAATTCCTCCTGTTGAATGTATTCAGTCTTTCTTTTTTTTGTGGGGATTATTTGCATTGTAATTTTGGGGCACCCACCAGCCCCAAAATTATTATTATAAAAAATAAAAAAAAAAACAAGAAATTAATATATTTAAAAATACTAAATAGTCATTATTATTAAAAACTGTTATTATTTTCTTTTTCACAATATTAATTTCACCCAGTTGACCAGTGGTGACAATAAATGCAATAAACAATTACTGTAAGCTCATTTTTGCAAATTTCTATAACATCATTGGCATCTCAAATAAGTATACATTTGTCTGAACCTCAATTTGCAAAATAAGTACATCTTGTACTCATGTGCTGTATACATTTAAGGTTCACTGTATACCTGCATAGATTTACACATATTTGAATTAATTTTAATTCTGTATTTCTCAGATGGAAGATACAATTGATTTGGTAAAGATTATGGAAAGTACTGGGGTGTCTGCTATTGGTGTACATGGCCGCAAGAAAGAAGAGCGCCCTCGACATGATGTTAACTGTGATGCTATCAAGCTTATCTCAAAGAGTGTTTCAGTCCCAGTTATTGCTAAGTGGGTAAAAGTAACTAATTTTGGTTCTATGAATAATCAGTGGCATCAAGAGTCCAGGGTATCCGGGGCAAGTCCCCCGGGGCCCGGGATAACTAGGTAAAAAATAATAAAATAAAATAAATAAATAAAAATTAATATTAAATGTATACATTCATTCAGTATCATTCATGTGTTTTTCCCCATGAGAATTGTAAATAAAACTGAACGTTTATCGATGAAAGCTGGTAATTGATCGCTTCTAATTCTTTATCATGAATATTTTTATGACTTCTACTACTCTATAGAGTTTATGTTTACAATGTATAAAATAGTACATTCTTTACATTAGTAATTATTAATTATAAACGGCTTGGACCATGGACATCGTCAATGTCCATACAAAGAAAATCTGGATAGACCTGATAGAGAGTAGATTGTCAAAATAAATATTAGTTAATTAGTGGCGGATTTAAAGGCTTGGCCCCCACACCCTAAATGTTTCAAAATTTAACAAAAATTGAGAAAAAAAAAATCTACTACAATTTAATTCTAAGATTGCCATTTCTGGCTGTTCAGAATTGCCATGATCGAAATATTTCTTTCCTCACCCAACCATGGTGAAGCTAAGATAGATAGATCGTTCATCTGTGAAAGTCCTTCTCTGCGCCCCCCCCCCCATTTCAAATTCCTGGATCCGCAATTGTAAACTTTGTTACCCTATGTTATGAATCTTTTTAGCATGTTTGAATAAAAGAGGGGGGTAAAGGTAAAGGTAAAGGTAGGAGACTTGCAGCGCCATTGTGCTGAATTGCGTATGGGTGTGGTCCGTGACTACCTAGCAGCCGTAAAGAGGCGCTTCTTGGTAGATACATGTTCACATCATTCCACAACGTCAGGGGCTGAAATGAACCATAAAATCGGGGTAACCCCTACTCTTCCGAAAGATGCAATGGGTTCTTTAAAGTGCACACGAGCCAGATGTATACACTGGACCTCCATTTTAAGTCCTTATCCGAGAAGACTTGGTTCTACCAACCGAACCATGGGCGAGGAGCGGCTGGAACCAGTGCCGATGTTAAAGGCCTGTCTCTTATACACATCTAGATGTGTATAAGAGACAGCTCCATCAACATTATTGTTAACGTATATACCGTCAATTTCATCATTTTGGGTATCGTTAGTATTATTACCAATATCGACATCAATAGCATCATTATCATCATCATCATCGCCACAATTAATATTCTCATCCACACAAATTCCATTGCCAACAGTTTCATCTTCACTTACATTTTGAATACCATTAACAACATTTTCATTATTAATGCATATATTGAAATCAAAAATAACTGTGATGAGATCGTCATCTACACTACTTCCCGGGAATCAGTTCCTTGTGGACCATCGGCAGTAATTCCTTATGTGTCCATACTGTCTCTTATACACATCTAGATGTGAATAAGAGACAGCATATACGCATACGCATGCATCGTTCACAGATAGCGGCGCCCCTGCTTTACCGCTCAGCCACTCGACTCACCTATAGGGATAGCCTTAGGCACTTTTTAAAGACAGTAGCTTCCAGGGGGATGGGGAGGCCACCAGGGATTCGCCCCTAGATCTCTCGAACCTATGGGCCAGGGCAGCGAAGATGCCCTGGGGCCCGCGGCAGCTCTTAGCTCTTAGCGGCCCTGTGAATAATATGGCGATTGAGTTGAGGGCATGCATGCTGGTTAGTGACAGTTTAGTTAACTCATTTTTTAAAGAGATTTGAAAACAAATGTATTCAAATTACTTTCAGTGGTGGATCCAGTCAGATTATAAAAACCTTTGAAGATATCGAAGAATTCAGAAATCTCAGTGGAGCATCGTCTGTGATGGTTGCTAGGGAGGCACAATGGAACCCGTCTATCTTCCGCAGGGAAGGAAAACTTCCAATAAACAATGTTATTAAAGACTACCTCAAATATGTAAGTTCATTGCTGTCGGTTATCAATACCTGAAAAGATGATCCTGGTCTTGTATGCCCGAATCAAAGCCAGGGATCATAGCCGACTTTTATTACAACACAAACCTACAAAAGCTAGCAAGTTAAATGTTCAAAAAATCATTCAATTTTAGATTTCTGAAGATTTCCATGTTATCTACCCACACCAGGCTCTTGGAACAATCTTAATCCATGGAGAGTAGTGAATACTAATGCATTTAATAGGATCTAAATTTTCCTACCTTCAGAGGTGTACTACCATTTGTGTTGTCTTTAGTTAGTGATACATTAATGAAAAATACATTACAGACTCCTTATTTTTCTTTTCTGGCTAACTGCCTCATCCCAAACTCAAAATTTATATATACAGTACAAATGTTGCAATAAATGTGTGTGTTGTATGAATTTTCTTGCAGTCGCATTCAATTCTCTTTACAGGCTGTTGACTATGATAATCAGTTTTCAAATTCAAAGTATTGCTTGCAGCAGCTAATGGTTGGCAGAAGTTTAGAGCCAGAAGCAAAGGCGCTACTAAAGGCTAAGACACTAAGGGAATTGTGGTAAGCAGATGAGTACTGTGTGCAGGTGAACAGTAATCAGGAAACTCATGTATAGCATGAACTCCCATCAGATAGTTGTGCAGCTTTGCTCAGTCGGCTAAACTGGTGGTAGCCACTGTTTGTGCGCTAAACCGTAGAGATCTATAGGTTCCGGGTTCAATTCCTATCGCTGCTCTCCTTGTGTTTCAGCTGAAGGGCTGAAGTGCAAGTTACGATAGCGCACCGTCCTCGGATGAAACGTTTCTAAGCTGTTGGTCTTGTGTGCATGACCCACGTGCACATTAAAGGAATGCATTACACTCTTGGATTGTCTTCCAGTGTACTGCCCAATCACCACCAGAAGAACCCACTGGAAATAAGTCTTTGTCAGGCTTTTGTGAGTTATCCTTAGTGTTTGCACCGAATAAACCCATAGAATTTGCTGTATTTTCCACTTGTCTGTCTGTGTTTTATACAATAGACAACAAATATTATAATGAAAGTATATTTATTAAACCACAATTTAGCATATACATTGATTAACTTCTGATGCTTATGCATTCAAGACCCTCCTTAAAACTTTTTCTCTGTAATCAATAATTCTTATTACAGTATATATTTAAGTGCCAGTGACTAATAATATTCTTGCAGGTGCTATACAAATTTCCAATTTATTATATAAACCTCAGTTGTAGTGTTGTGAAATAAATGCATATATTTATATCAGATCTGAATCTGTTAATTTGCCTTAATTAAACCTAATGCAGTGTTCTCCCTAGCATCATAGGCAAGCGTCATGGTAAGTGTTAAGTCCACCATAGTTGGGACTGACACAAGATATTTTTAATATTTAGGAGGCATTGAAATGTTCTAAATTGTACTTTAAAATATTAATAAAAGCAGGGAACAGTTAAATAATTTAATTGTTCCCTGATAAAAGCATCATGGAAGATGTTCCAAGCATCATGGGGAAAGTCCCAAGCATCATGGTACCATGATGCTTCAAGGGCCTTGGGAGGACACTGTAAACCTAATGTGTAGCATTTAAGAATTAATTTGCTGCATTATAAAAATATATTTACATATGTAATGTTTCTGCTTTTGTTATAGAACTGACATTATCCACATACTTAAATCAATATATATTTTACAACATGTCTTTGACTAATTTAGTGAAGTATGGAGTATGGAGGTTTACTTCGACTCTGTAATTGCAGCACGTCAAAAAGCTGAAGATTTACGTAAACAGCGAGTTGAAGCTGTAAAAAAGAGGAAATTAGATGATGGATCCACCTTGTACACAATAGAGATAAGATACAACAAGTAAGCATTTAGTCAGAGGCGGCTTCTGGCTAACGGCGACATAGAAGTGTAAAGGAATAGGGTCTTTTGGATTATGTTGCATATTGATTCGGTTCTATTATACTGTTTTAAAATAGAAATTTATATAGATATTAATACCTGCTGATTATTAGTACTGTATATGATACTTTTTCAAAGTCTATAGTTTATCTCTTGAGTGAGCAGTTTAGCTGTCAGCTAAACTGAGCCACTGTTGTGCGAGGAATTGTGGACACCTCTTGGTCCCTGGTTCAATTCCCATCGCTGCTTTCCTTGTATTTCAGCTGAAGGGCTGAATGCAAGTTACGATAGAGCACCGTCTTTCAGATGAGATGTTTAAGCCATTGGTCCCGGGTACTCTTAGAAAAACAGTGGGGAATGGTCTCTCAGTGTCTTGCCCAATCACCACCAGAAGGACCCCACTGGAATTAAGTCTTCTTTAAGACTTCTGTGGGTTATCCTTGGTTATCCTTTACACTGAATAAATCCAATCCAATTACCGTAGCTTTCACTGTCTTCTCGACAGCTTCATTCAGCGGACTGCTGGTTGTTAAATATTTTATTAAACTGCTGATAACAACAAATTTGTTGCCCAAAACCGTAGGCCCAGTGTACGCATTTGGCTCGTGTGCACCCAGTACATCATTCGAGAAGAGTAGGGGGTTACCCCGGTGTACTGGTCCATTAAGTCCCCTGTTGTTAAATGGATATGCCACGTAGGACAGTGATTAAGTTCACTTATTGGCATATCCTTGGCGCTTGTGCCTAAAGAAATGAAATGAAAATGTTTTGTTTTTTTTGTTCATTATGTGGAAAATAAATAAATCAATCAATCAATTGTGAAGCTGGTTACACTGTAAATAGTATTTTTCAGCCTATTAACTATTAAAAAAAAACAAAAAAAAAGAAGTCACTTTGTTAGATTGCATATAGGAATCAGTGTATTACAGTACTTGATGCATATATAGATTTTATGTATTAAGAAATCAAAGTATTTATCTAATAGTTTCTTTTATAAATTTTATCAGTGCCATTCTTAGTTACTCCTTACTCATTGAATACATTTCCTGTTAAATTTTTCAGAAAAAATTTTAGTCCAATGACAACTCCGAAGCTCATCCTGGGGGAGTGGTGTAGGGATAATCTTCTAGACCCCCCTGTATATTCCATGGTAAGTGGCACTAATACATTATAACTTAAAGTATTAGTCTTGCAACATTGATATCTCATTACAGATTAGACTTGGGATCAGGTCTAGCATATACAGTAAGCCGGGCACTCACTGCAAGACTCTTATCTCCACTCTCCAAGAGGGCTTGACGAAGCGACGTCACCTTCTGATTGTCTGTGGCAGTCAGCTGAACTCTCCGTTTTGCATGCTTTGTCTTGTTACTTTGTGGAATTGCATTGGCCAGGGGCGGATTTAGGATTTAGCAAAAAGGTGGGGGGGCCAAAGTAAAGATGGACGACCAGCCGAGGTACAAAGCATCCAGGGGGGTGGGTTTGGGTTTTTTCAAAATAGGAAGATTTTTTGAAATGGTACGCCCTTGAAAGCTCTTACAGGGCATCATACAACAAAGAAAGGCATCCCGTTGGCCAACAATCATCGGAAGCAGCGTTTGTTCAGCTTTATCAAAAGAGCATATGTAAATGGGGAAGATGGCCCTTCAGCTACAAATGTAAAAAAAACTACAACACACCTACATCATCCGGGGAGAACTGGCCCCCAATGGGGTGGAAAATACACTTCGTCACAAAAAATTTGTTGACTATAGAATCTAAAACCCCTAAATTGTTTGTAGTTTCTAGGGCCTTCACCCCCCCCCCATCACTAATATGAGAGATTTTGTGTGACGCCCTAACACGCCCACTTGCGTTCTTGTCAGGGACATCAGGCTTAGTCAGGCAAATCCAGAGCCAATCCTGACCTCATCACTTTCAAGCTGTTTTATCAGTTATCAGGACCATATGCTTCCTCCACCAGTGCCCAAGTAACTAATTAAACACCAGGCATAATCTTTCTTATTTTCATCTAGTGTCACTTCATTGTACAGTATTAAGTTGTACATATTATTGTCCATGTGATAAGCAACTTGGATGAATATGGAGCATTTTATACCTTGTATAGGGAATTTATAATAATAGATGTTGGATGAGTTACTCCATGCCTGTGTGCAAGTCGCAGTTTATTTCCTACCTTTACCTTTTTTATGTACTGTACTTGCCAGAGGATTGTAACATATTTCTTTGTTATGATGTATTTAAAATGTTTATTTTAAAATAGGAGGAGCACACTGTTCACAGGCTGTATCAAGCAACAGTCAATGTTGACAAAGACTATTTTTCATCATCTTGCTGGTAAGCTTTTTGACCTTTGACCACTTTTGAATAACATGTTTATGATCACCCATGCATGATAAAATATAATTGTGTTCACTGTTGTCTTCAGGGAGAAAAGCAAACGTGCCGCTGAGCATAACGCTGCAATAGTGTGTCTACGCATCAAGAGTGTATATGACGGATTACTGGAACATGAACATTCCAAAAAGAATGCAAGAGAAGAAAAAAGGATGACGGAGAAAACAAACAAACAAACAACAAAAACCAGATGGGAACACACAGAATGCAAACCAGGTGGACCCTTCAGATAGAATCAAAGCATTAGCCACAGCTAGTTGATAGCAGTTGATTGGCACGAGTAATTAAGTTGATAAAGAATGTAACAGAGGTGTGAATATTTAGCTGATAGAACACCCTATTCGTTTACACAGGATTTTTGTGACGAATAATGAGGGTGCACTCCGATCCTAACATTAATAGGCGAATTTGAGCAGTTTTACAGTCTTTTCAATGAAAAATAGGACGAAATTACTTCAGTTACTTAAACTAATATGGAAATATGAAATATTGTGCTAAGAGGCTCAGTTTTGGAGTTAAAATAGAGGGTGCAACCAGTTTTCTTGTGGTTGTTTTTGACTTTTTTTCTGCCTGTCTTATGCCCTAACCATTCCCATCTCAAAGTTTTTGTTATTTACTAAATAATTATTAATATTTAGATTGTGTTATCTGCTCTCTGGAAGAAATATTAACCTGAAGTTTCTGGAGTATACTTGAAGGTTGATATGGTCTGCTTTCCTAATTTATCATAGCATTTTATAGCATTTGTTCCTTTGTATTCTATAATGGAATAAGAGGGGGATATTTTGATTGATTGATTACAATATCTACACATTGAATGACATACAGTACTGTACAATTTGACAATGCATGATTGATATTATATATATGAATAATATATAGATTTATTTCTAAATGCATTATTAAAGATAAAAAGAACATATTTTTAATCAGAATTTTAAAAAATTGATTCATTGGACTAATTTCATAATTGCCCTTTTTGACTAATCAAATAAACATCATACAAACAGATAATTGCTTTTTTCTACATTGATCATCTAAGGATAAATACAAACTACATATAAACATGCACTGCGAATAAATATTTCAACATTTAACTAGATCATTTGGAAACCCAGTCAGATGTTGTAGCCAATATTATAGGAAATTATAATCTGATGGTTGTGATAAGGTTGGTTTCACTATTTTTTTTATTTAGTAACCATGTCTAAAACCTAAAGGTAGTTTACTGTGGGAAATAAAATGTTAAAATGTAATGTTAATGCATGCTTACTTCCTTTACCTAACATGCCAGAAAATTAGATTATTAAGTGAATTAGATTTAATACATAACATTTAATATAAAGTTAATTATATAATACATTTTCTCAAATTAATACAGATATAACAAAAACAAAGCCATTAGAAGTAACATGCAGGGTAAACCATGGAAAATGGTACCAGTCGGTGGTTGAACAAACACATCTAAACTTCAGTAGTTAACTTTAAAAAATCATGCATTTCCTATCTTATTACATTAAAAGGTTGTCCTAAATGATTTTTATATACAACAAATTAGAAGTGGATACCAACAATTTGTAAGCAGTGGGTGTGGCTTGTAAAAGACACTTCAGAGTGACAAACATATATACTTGTACAGTAATGTACTTCTTTTTAGAAAAGTATGTCTTAGCACCAAAAAGCATTATATAGTCCAGGGGCAGATCCAGTCCATTTTGCTAGTACTAAATTTTAAAAATTTCAATGCAAATCAATGTTGTGTGCCCCCTCCCCCCAGTTTGAAAAATTCTGGATCCACCCCTATAGTCATATGTTTAAATAGAAAAAGAACATAAAAAATATAGTATATATTCTGGTAGACAATATAACATGTTAACAATAACAAGCAGATATGAATAAATAAAATATGTTTAAATGCTAACTGACACTGGAGGGATAATTGATACTTTAAAAAATAATTCAAAAATTTAATTTGATTAATTTTTGGTATTTCAGGATGATTTCTCAAAACTAGATGTTCAAAGTATCAAATAAGCATCTTTCATATACCAATACCACAATTATGCTGATGAAGCTGCTTATAATTCATCTCGTCCCTGAAAGAACAATCATATTAAAACATTTAACATCAAGAAAGCAAAAGCAATGAGCAGCAGTGTATGCAGGGGTTTGGGGATGCAACCCCCACCCCCTACTTGTAAAAGGTTGATAAAAATAAATATATTAAACATACTAGACATTGTTAATATTCTTCAACTTCAAATAAAAATCCCATTTGCCTTATCTTCAAAAGATTAACTCAGAAAGATCCGTTTAAAGGGAAAATATACCAACAACAACCTAAAAAACACTAATAAAATATTTATTAGAAAAATACACATGTGAATATATTTCAAAATGACGTTAAGATGAACGCAAAACTCAGTTAATGGGAAAAAAATTTCCATATAAATCAGCAGCTGCAAACTCTAATGATCAGTCACTTCCCAGTATGTTCTGTACTATTTGTGACCAGCAAATTATCTACTGGTATTGGGAATAAGTACACATTTCTCTGAAATGCCCAATATCTGGAGCAAAATGCAAATGAATCAGCAAGACACTCCACACCCTCTACTCATTTTGAGGTGGATTTTAAGTCTAGTCATATCTCAGGAGGATCTAATAGCTTGTTGACAATTATCCAATCTAGGGACAGGGTTTTCTTTAAATTCAGTTATGCACAGAGTACATGATACATGCGAAATTAATACTATCCAAAATGAACAAAAACAATTATAAAACTCGGACATATGAAGAGAGTTATAAATCAACCAATAATTTGATTGTTAAAAATTAGGAATGTTTTATATAGAAAATATAAGTATTTATTGGAAATTATTAAAAACAAATAAGCATCAATATCTTAATTATTTGCTTCATATGGCACCATTTCAAAAAGAACAAATAATATGTTTACTGACAGTACTGTATATGGTGCAAATGTAATGTTTTCTCTATGTTAATAAAATTTATTAAGGCAGCACTACACATTGAAATTACAGTACAAAACATGCGTCCAATGTTGTTTGTACTGTCTTTTAAATGCTAATCATGTATTTGTATGATTATTAATGATAAACAGAGGATTAAGCATAATTCAATCAATTATACACAAAGAAAATCTTCATTATGAATTTAAACATGTATTACCTTTTCCCCCAACAGGCAAATAGTAAATATTAGTTTGTCTTCCCACATGAAAATTGACCTCGGGTCATTTATTATGCGTGGAAACACCTTGAGTTACTTATTGGTGGAAAGTCATAACCGGCCACTTTAGTTTCAACTTAAAACTCTAAAGAGGGGAGGATGAAAAGGTCAAGGAGGAAGAGGGGAGGATGAAAAGGTCAAGGAGGAAGAGGGGAGGATGAAAAGGTCAAGGAGGAGGAAAATGAGGAACTGGAGACAATTTTATTGTGTAGGGCTGTAAAGTGACTATCATGCTGAATAGAAGTCTTTCATATGAAACGTTGAAGCCCTTGGTCCTGTGTTCAAAATAGCCATGTCCATGTTAAAGAACGTATGTAGTACACTCTTCGGAAAAGAGTAGGGTATTGCCTCCTGGTTTACTGCCCAATCACCACCAGAAGGACCCTACTGGAAATAAGTCTTCTTCAGACTATTGTGGGTTTGTCCTTGGTGTTCACACCGAATAAATTCATCCAACCATCCACAAGCTCTTGCACAAGGCTGTGGTTTTTCTGACGGTCCTAGCCAAATGACTGACGTGTGAGAGTGACTACATCAGACTGCTGACCTGTACTGAACTTAAAACCCTGATGGTTCGAAGACAAAAAAGGTAAACTGTGGAACGTTTTTTTTTTAAATTTAAAAGCAGTATGCATTCCAATGTTGTGTTTGTCTCCACCATTAAAAATTATTACAAATCAGGGGTGGTTCCAGGATTTAACAGAGGGGGGGGGGGGTTTCAAAATTTTTCCAAAAAACTCCAAAATAAAAGGGGGTCCCAGTGTCCTCGCCTGGATAGAGGGAAAAAATCAAAGACAGGCAATATATTATTATATTCCAACAACATTGAGTAGTTAGATATGTAGTCTTTCTTCCATGGATCGATGAACCGATAGGCCTGAAAAACGCACTTTCGTACATAAATTATTACGACGGCGAACCAAAAATAGTGTGTATAATTTAATTGAAAACTACTTGGGCTAAGCCTATTTTGTCTGATCTTCCAACCTATACCTGGGTAGGTGTTAGCATGCCTTTAGTAAGCCAGGACCCAGTTGTATTTTGTAGCGTTTCTTTACAGAGGGAGTTCGTTTGAACTGCCCCTGGACGCAGGGTTCCCGGAATGCCGCCCTCAGCGGTGTGTGTGAGTCAGAAGTGGAACGTGAATTTCGGTTTGGTTTCGTAGTCAGATTTTTGAGAAAAACTTCAGCTACCCGTATTCTCGACTGAGACGTCAATGGGAGCTGTAATTTGTATGGCAAGGAGACGGTGCTACCCTTAATTCATATTAAGGGAATTTACGCCCACAAACCTTGTAGTTATTAATATTTTGGTTATAATAGAAAATTTTTATTTTTTTGGTGACGTCACACACGCTATATTTAGCATGCATACGTCATAAGCTAGATTACGTCACCTTTTCCTGATAAGGCAAACTTTCCCGGCTTGCTTTTCTCATGGATAAACAAACACCACTGCCAACAAGCAGAATTCATGAAAGACAGATTTGAAAACTGTCTCTTATACACATGAGGACAGAAGATTTGCACACAATGCCGCAAGAAGCTTGCAAAACAACAGCCAGAATTAAAAGTGTGTGAGTTACCATTACCATCTGTAACTTCAACTAGCAGTAGTGAAGATGATGGCAATGGGAATTTTTTTAAGTATTGTGAGTAAGTTAGTATAACTTGTATAGTTGCTTTCTTTATTTTGAAATAGATGATCAATGCGTACATAAACATACAGTAATAATAGAAAAAGAAAAAAAAACAGGTCATGTGGAAATCATTAACAACACACAGCAAAACCAAACAAAATACTAATAGTATAGAGTTCCTGTTATCACTAAAAGGAATATAGATCTGCAACAATAGGAATATTTCGGTTGAACCAACATACATCATTATTAACATTTACGTCATCTGCCAAAAATTCTATCAGATCTCTTTCTCACGTTAAGGTCAATGATTGAAATCTCGAAGTGACTTCAATTAGAATTCTATTTTGGACATTTTTTGATCTTTTAAAAGTGTAATATGATTTACTCTATGGTATTGACTAAATTACAGAAATAAAAAATTATTAATTTAATTTACACAATTTAAATTACTTAATGAAAAGTACACTCAATATTTTGTCTATGTTTGAATAGTGTACACACAATTATCAAGGAGGAATTGCATGGAACATACTTCCTCCCCCACCCCACCCCCAACAAGGTAAGACATTTGTTTACATTTTGGTATACAGTTCCTTAATATTATGTAAACAAATATTCAACTCTTCATCTACACAAATTTCTATTATTGAAATCACAGGTTTTGATTCGATGTCAATTATGAAATGAACACGTCTATTAAAATTAATGGCTATTATTAATGTGTTACTTCACTCAATCTTAAAAGCATGGTTATTTGTCAAAATACAATACATTTTTATTAATTTGGTACATATTTTAAATGTTGCATTTCATCTTTGTAACATAAACAAGTACAATGATGTACTGAAATAGTTACAAACTAGTTTTCAATAGTCAGGAATATATGACGGAAAATCAATACATAAGCTTACGGATAAGTTTCTGTGGCATTTGCATTTGCTGTCCTCAGGCTGCAAGACTTCCTCCATATCATCATGGATTCTAGGCTTAGAGGTAAATTTTTTTGAATATTCCTAAAAGCAAGGGTAAACCAAAGAAATACCAGTTAAAAGAGTTGTGATTCAAAATCATGGGAGAACTAGAGGGCACTCGGGGAGTTTACACCTTTTATACCCACATTATGATTCTCCTCAGTAAAATTTTTCCCTGCATATTATCCCCATAAAAAAAAAAATTTTTTTAAACAAAAAAAAACAGTAGACTCCTTGGGATTTGAACCCCGACCCTTCAAAATTTAGTCACTTCCAGATTTTTTGTTAAGGAATATTGTGACCAAGTTTGACAAATTTCTGATTTTTGTGACCTTGACCCTTGATCCTTACCCTTCAACATTCAACTACTTTGTGATCTTTGGTCATGGAACATTGTGACCAAGTTTGACAAGTTTGTGATTAAAACTATGGGCTGTAGACAAATAAATAAAAAAATAGGGAATAAACATACAGTATTCTATTGCGACATATTTAAATTTCTCCATGTTGTGACATAGATCAATTACAGATCAATTTGAAAGAGTATAGTCTGACGGATCATGGCAAAGTGTTGTTTAACATTATTACAGATTAAACAATTTTTAATTAAGTATTCACAGACCTGCCAACTCACCCGAACCTGTCAGGTTTCGCCTGATATTTAAACAAGTCCCTAGTTCTCCCGATCGAATATAATTTTCACCCAATTTCACAGGCCACCCAATTTCACAGGCCACCCCCTCCCCCAAAAATACATCGATTTATGCATTATTGATTGTTATTATTCAATGTATTCGTCGCCTGCTCGCTTCGCGGTTCAATAAACAAGCAGCCATTTTCCATTTGAATGTCGCCACCAACGGCCAATGATTTGTAGTGACGTGACTTTTGGTTAATTCTGGAAACTTCCAGATTTTTTGGAAAATCTCCAGATTTGTTTAAGATTCTTAAAAAAATCTCAAAATTTTCATGACCCAATAGTTGGCAGGTCTGTATTCATTAGAATGCTATGCTGTAAGTGAATAATTAGTTACTGACCCAAAATAATGTTTTTGTTTCAATTACTGATATAACTTAAAAAAAACATGGATTTATAATTATTTAATTGTTTTCTTAATTTTTCCAGAAAATTCCTAAATTGACTCATTATGGGTCTTGGGCATTTATTTTTCATGAAAAATTTGTTAAACAGGTTAACTTGTTACTTGTATAGCGCCTTTCTTTTCAGTTACAAAGCGCTGAAGTTCTTTTCCCTGGTCATTGGGTCCACATGCCAAGTGTTGCTGCTGGTAATCAGCGCAGGAGCAGGTAACCCTACCAGGTTCCATACTCCTGGGTGAAGAGAAGCAATGCAGATAAAGTGTCTTGCTCAAGGACATAAGTGAAATGCACAGCGAGGGATTGAAACCCAGACCTTGAGGTTGGGAAACCAAACCGTTCCTGCCGCACCAAACCGCTTCATACGCTTCATGTGTATCATTTTTCAATTACTCTGATAAGTTACAAACCCTTGATCACCCTGTTGTGCCATATCTATGTACTGAAAAAATATTATGGCTCAATATTGTGGCGGGTTCATGGCCAAGTACCTTAACCACAAAGGTACTGCTCCACCCACATACATACAATGAAAGACTTACGGTAAGGGCTTGGTAGTAATAGCAGTAGATTTGGTTTGACAGCAAGTTGTTTTTCACATACAATTGTCCATTTTGGGCAATCTGTTCCGCCTAAATTACAAATGCATAAAAAAAGCAAACACAATTGATTAGAAAGTATATTGTATACTTCAACTATACAAAGAAATACATCAATATTTCAACATGTTATTGTGTTATCAGAAAACTGACTCCAGCAATCAATACTACTGTGATAAGATGTTTCAATGACACTTTGACTGCTTTATAAATAACATACGTTGAAATAAATTGTGATATAAAATAAAAAAATAAAAAACTAGCAAACTAAAAAACCGAACGAAGACCAGAGCTGCAGGGGGAAAAAACTGTCAGTCATCAACTGAAGAAATAAGATTAGTTTTTAGACTAGTGTGTAATGAATATCATGGCAGCACAAAATTGAATTTAGATAAAATGTACAAACAGCAAATCAAAAAATGAACACAAAAAAAAAAAACTTAAAATTACATGATAATATACAGTTACAGCACATTTTCACAAAATCACACACAAAACAAAGAACTGAACAAGATTATACAACAATAAACTTGAATTAAAAAGCCATATTTGAAAAGAATTATTGCAGATTTATTGTTGTTATTATTTTGTTATTATTATTTATTATTATTATTATTGTTCAGATTTATTGTTATTATTTTGTTATTTACTATTATTATTATTATTCATTAATATTATTGTTATTATATTATTATTAAAATTATTAATGCTGATTGTAAATTATATAAAAATATAAATCTTATTTCAACAAAACACATGACAAATACATTACTGTAGTAATAAAGTGATATAGCAACACAGACAGTTGTTGAAAGATATTTATACATTGTTGAACATATGTAAAGCTTGGTTTCCATACAATAGCTACACCCTGTTGGCGACTCTCAATAGCAGCTCCATGGAAACGCTTGTTGATTTTGGCATGGGATAGGCCTAAACTGCCTGCTTACCTAGTAGTAGTACTACTACATACCTACCTACCTACATAATATACAGGCAATGATAAGATTAAATGTTGATCACAGTATGCCATCTATTTATCGTAGCGTTGCTAAATTGCACGTTCGCAATCGTTCATTTCCTTTCCAGGAAAACTCATGCCAACATTTAACATCGGCTGATGATTGGTTGATAGTTATGTTTTGTTGCAGACGAACGCTGGGTGCCTTCACGATTGCGTCGTTGCAGCTATGCTGTGTAACAATTGCTGTAGCGACAGTGTAGTGATTGTATGGAAACCAAGCTTAATACAGAAAAATATACATGTATTGTACTGTAATGACAGTTTTAATTCAAATAAACGCCTTGCTTTGAATAAACAACCCCTCAAATGAACGTGCTTCCTAGAACATAATTTGGGCAATGGCGGCCCAACAGAGCAAGGGGCACAAGATAATTTTCTTAACCCACAATATTCCCCCAATTTCCTTAAAAAAACAAAAACCACCCCTTCCCCCAAATGACTGTTCAAAAACCTAATGGAAGCAACATCATTCTCAAAGCATTCTATTAATGTGCTACTCCAGTAGAATTACATTTTTTCTATTCTGGTTGAAATAAATACGTCTTTATTATCATATACTGTAACAACATATTTTGACAGTAATTATGGGTTGTAGTTTACAGTGAAATTAGGTATAATTTATTTGAGAGAGTATTATACATATCCCATTTTACACCAAAAATAAACCCCACCTTTGAATAAACGCTTCCCTCAAAAAAATCTTCCCAACAATAAACGCCTTAGGCGTTTATTCAAATCAATACAGTACTATGTAATAAAGCGTTAACAAACTTAACAAAACTATCCAAAATCAACCGAAACTGAACTTGCGGAAATTGTTTAGGAATGTTCTGCGTAACAAATGTAAATAGATTCCCAGTAAATTTTTCTTTGGAACTCGCTGCCTGTTGAATGCTCTCCCTAATCATAACATTCTCAGTTTGTATAGCAATTATATAAGTAATAGCCAAACCAAAATATTATTAGAGTTCATTTGATTTTAAACTGCAATTTCAATAATGACATCATGTCAACCAGTGACAACGCCAGATTATATTATATTTCTATATTTTGAATATAGAAATCGTCTATATGAAAGGAAATGGCACTCTAGTGCTGCTAATGACTTCAACTGCTATTTCCTTTTGGGGGGTAAATTTAAGTTGCTACCTATGTTTTTTAAATTAAAGTAGAAACCACTTATATAAGTTATTTAGCATACCTGTAAACCTACATTAACAACTGTAACCTTGAATAGCCATATTACTGTATATGGTTGATTTAAACTTCAGAGACACGCCTATTGAATTTTCCCATTCATACTTATATAGCCATTACCTCTATTATTAACAATAGCAGTTGACGTAAGTGAATGACATTAGTGAGCACACAATATTGATCTTGTTTGGTATTGCGCAAAGAAAATTCCAAAACATCACACAAGGTATTGAAAAAGTACAATATAACAGTAAACATTAAAGTAAATGTACCAGTATTAATATAAAAAACAAAAAAATTAACACTAGAGAACATTATTAAAGTACATAAAAATCTAAAGAAATATATTCACAAAATATAGCACAAGATCAGAATTACGTCTGACGATAACTAATCCAAATTTCAGTTCCCTTGCTGTTCCAAATCAAAGAGGTATTATAGTTCACTATAATAACTCAGCCCTAATTAATGATACTTAATGTAGTGATATACACAAGAGTTCAATTCAATTCACTTTATTCACGATTATATAAATAAATATAACAGAAATGAGCTTTGAAGCTAAGCGATCAAACAACATACTGTAGTTAAAACAGACTGTAATGTAGTGATATACACAAGAGTTTGTTTTCGATGACATTTGTAAATTTTCTTCCAGTAAAGCTAAAGGTCTTGATGGAATTGATTGTAAACTACTCAAACTTGCTGCACCTAAAATTTGTGATTCTCTATCTTATATTTTCAATCTATCATTATCAACATCTTCATTTCCTGATGAATGGAAATATGCAAAATTCACCCCCATTTTTAAAGATGGTGATAAGTGTGACCCAAATAATTATAGGCCAATCTCTGTGTTACCTATGATATCTAAGATCCTTGAACGGGCATGATCAATTATATAGCTACCTTACTGAAAATAATATCCTAAATGAATCTCAGTCTGGGTTTAAGAAAAACCACTCATACCACTTTGCTTGATGTCACTGATTATATTCTCAAAACACTGACAAAGGTAATCTAACATCTGCCCTTTTTCTTGACCTGAAAAAGGCCTTTGACACAGTCAATCACATAATTTTAATTAATAAACTCAGAAAATATGAGGCATGTTGTAGCAAAAATTGAAATTCAAGTTATTGGTATTTTCAGATACCAGAGTATGTGATCTTTAAAATGAGGGGTCATTCAATGAAATTGGACATTTAAAGCCCAAGTTATTGGAATGTGAATGTACAGCACTCTTAGAGTCAAGATAAACATGATTTTGAGTAATTGCCTTCCAAAGTTATTTGTGCATAAATTGTTTAATAGAATTAACTATCTAAATAATGTTAAATAAATGATTTGTTTACCACTTCCAGAACTAATACTTTGGGACATGATTAATAAGACATTAAACTGTTGATCTATAGTGAAAAACAAATTTGGATATTTTGGAAATTTTTTGAGCTCCCATATTTTATAGCTCATTTCCTCAATACTGGCCTGTGCGACAACTTAACCATTTCGCCACGACATGCCTCATATGATATTAGTGATATTGCCTTAGAGTGGTTTAATTTATATTTAAGAAATCGGTCACAAGTTGTTTGTATTAATTCTGATTGTAAAAATGTTTGTATTGGTATCCCACAAGGCTCCATATTGGGACCACTACTTTTTATATTTTATGTAAATTCTCTCCCAAACAGTGTTTCATGTAAATCTGTTATATACGCCGATGACACCACTCTGCTGTGTAGTTCATCCGACCCAATTAATACTTCAGAATGAATTAAATCATAATCTTGACAAAATAGTTAATTGTTCAATGAAAATCACCTGACACTGACACTAAATATTAAAAAGACTAAATTTATGATTTTTGGAACAACACAGAATATTTTGAAATTTAATAATGTTACTGTGAGCTATAATAATGACTTCATTGACAGAGTTGATTTTTTTAAATACTTGGGTGTTACTTTTGACCCGCAGCTTACATGGAACAAACACATTGAAAGCTTATCTTCTAAAGCTTCTAAAAGGATTGGTGTCATCCGTCGTATCAGATATTTTGTACCTCAATTTATTCTTAAGATGTTAGCTAAAACTATTGTTTTACCTTTATTTGATTATTGTTCTTGTGTATGCTCAAACTTGTTCCATCGAATTATCTAATAGCATACAAGAACTGTTAAACACCTTAGGAAGAATATTACTTTCATGTGATATTAGAACACCAATTAATGATATTTTAAGTTTGTTGAACTGGCTAACTCTGAAAAATAGATGGAGAGACCAATTATTATTTTTAACTTTTAAATGCCTTCAAGGACTTGCTCCCTAATTAATATGTTTGTTTTCCTTGAAAATGATAAAAACACTAGAAGCCAGACAAATAATCATCTTGTAGTTCCACAATGGAACATGTCAAGGAAAACGAACTTTTCAAAGTGGAACCAACTACCTAGCAATATAACTAGGGATTTCCAGAATTTTAACCAATACAAATTTTAAAATGCTCTTAAATTAATTGGTCTCTCCTCTATTTTTGTAATTAAGTCCTTTGTTTAATTTTCCTAAATTTTTCTTTTCAATTTTTCAATTTTTGTATTTTATGTTATATAACTGGACCACAACGAAAACCAGTGGCTTTGCATTGAGTGTGCCATCCAGTATAACAAATGTTTTAATATTAATAATAATAATAATAATAATATAGTAGACTTTTCTTTATTACATGATAAAAAACAAAAACACACCAATACAAACATAATATAATGGTAGTAAAAAAATTTAAAAAATCAATTCAATTCAATTCACTTTATTCACGATTATATAAATAAATATAACAGAAATGAGCTTTGAAGCTAAGCGATCAAACAACATACTGTAGTTAAAACAGACTGTTCCAAACAAGTACAGTAAAATACAGTAAAATATATTAAGGTATATTATTAAAACACTGAAATATATTAGTAAAACATTAAAAAACAATAAAAATAAGATCTTATTAAAACACTTAGAGACCTTATTAAAACACTGTATGATAACATAGCAGAAAATGCATTAAAATAGTATAAAATTATTGCATTTTATGTTAAAAGACTAAGACCAGGTTAAAATAGTGTAAAATTATGGCATGTGTTAAAATACATAAAAGCAAATTAAACGACAGAATCTGGGACTACAAATGGAATGCACATTGCACGCAAACACAAAACAAAACAAAAAGAACATTCCAAAACACTAATTTCTAATGTGAACCTGTATTATTAACTTTAAATAGACACGCACAGCAAGTCATTGGACCTCCAACCACAAAGTGAAGAAGCAAGCACCCAACTGTGACACCAAACCGCTCCTACATTGTATGAAAACTAGGCTAAGATGTCTATGGTTTCCTTGGTTGGAACAGACTTAATGATAAATGAAATGAGCTAACTCCCATGATGAAAATTAAATGTTTAAAAAGAAATGCCACATCAAACAAATTTGTAGACCATAAATTGCCAATTTTAAATGTACACACAGTAAAAACAACTTAAGGAGTTGTTCACAACTATCAACATCTTCACAAGTGTACAAACAGTACTCTTTTTTGGCACCTCCTCCCTCCCCTTTGATAGTGTACAAACAATTTTTGACGTTACAAAACCATTCTCAATTTTTTTGTCAAATCAACTAAAGCAGTGAATTCGGTTGCTTAAAAATGATTATTATATCTGTGGTTACATTATAATTTTACCATTTATATTATATATTACATGTTATTTTGAATCAACAATTTTATGCATATGTAAAAGTGTACAAATCTGTCTACCCCCTCCCCCTAGCATACTGTTTGTACACTTGTGAAAATGTTGATAATTTTGAACGACCTCTTCATTAGTACGTAAATGAACTATTTCTCAAGCTGAAAAGAACATTTTACTACAGAGCCACCAAATTTGTTTTGTTCTCTCCCTCCCCCTTACCCAGCAAGAACATCATCGAACTTGCTTCAGTTAAGACCAAGTTGATGAACTTTTCAATACTCAACATTTTCATTTGCCATTTACATTCACTAGCATATTACAAATAATTACATATTTAGAAATATTACAATAATTTAGATAAAGAGCAGTGTTTGTTTCTATTTCCTACCTCTTTGTCATGCTCCTGTGCCCATTGGATCTTCTCCAACAGGTCAGACAAGTTCTGGTTGAAGGGAATGTAGTGAACCCAAGGTTGTAACTCCTGGTAGAAGTGTTCATAGTAAACAGAATCATGCTTCAATACAACACTGTTGCCACCAAGAAGATAGGGTAGTCGGTATGCAGCTACCGTACCATCAATGTTCACCTGATACTTGTACTGGTATAGAAACAAAAGCAATAGTTAATAGGTAAAAAAAATTGAATTTAATTTACAAATTATCACTTGAATTGAAGCAGGGTGTTGTTGTCGCACTATTGTATTCTACAGGACCATTGTTAAAGCCGGTATTTATAGGGCCATAAAAAAAGTTTATTACTTTATCATCCCCGTTCATATCTCTTTTATGGTGCTGAAAAAAAAAGATTTTTTGATAATAAATGTTATTTTTCAAATTTTTTTTAGTAAATAGTTAGATATTGTCTGTATAATCTCAATCATGTATTTTACTTTGAATAACAATGCACCAACAAACAACCCAAGGGTGATATTTGGCTTCAGCAAATTAAAAAATAAAACACCACCCTCAATTATAACTTTCCCAGCCTTGCCAGTATCCAGGGTACACCTTGGTAGTATGCTAAACTAATAATTTTTTTTATTGAGCCTAATATCTATTTGGAGATGTGTACTACATAATTAAGTTTTAAATACAAAATAAATATAAATAATAGTTATACTGAAAATTGTTCTCTTAGGTAAACTAGAAATATATAGATTTCATTAATACCATCACCATGTTTCCAACTTAAGATTTCAGTAGCATTGATACATAGATAAATTAATCTACTTTTCTTGGTGAAAAAAAAGTAACATATTTCATTGAGTCACTCATTAGACCTTTTTTTTGTTCATTTCATGTCAAATATGCAGTCAGTTCTCCATATCTTGGGGAGTAATCTTATGATATGTCATTCATCACAGACCAGTTTCATTGCAAATCTGTCACCTCCTACCAGGTACGAATTTATATCCCAGTGGATATAGACACATGGACGTATTTATTATCTCTATGATAGACAGGAACTACATCAAAGTACATATACCCCAAAATTGAAATAATATTCCAAAACTCAAAAGCAAGAATACAGGAAAGATTGCACAAGCAGATAGGGACATCCCTTTTATTATCCATTTTATTTATTATGCCTCAAAGAACAATTACATTGCAAAACATGCACAGTGATGAAAGAAAAAAATGAACACTATTACAGGCAGGGACAGGATTCCCAAAAAGTGAACCAATTTGCTATCTGGTAGGTCTCCCATTGCACTGTTTGGAGATAATACCTTAGAATAAACACACGATAATAATAATAATAATAATAATAATAATAATAATAATAATAATAATAATAATATTGTTTAAATAATAATAATAATAATAATAATAATAATAATTGTTTAAATAATAATAATAATAATAATAATAATAATAATAATAATGATAAACAATAATAATAATAGTTATCATTATTACCGCTACAACCACTCTTATATTATATCATAAATATCACTTTAATTTAAAATGATGACAATATAATTTAAAACAATCATATGTATATAAAAAATATTGATAAAACCTATTTGGAAAAATATATTTTAATATCCTTTAAAAAAGGTTATAATATTTAAGCTAACGAATCCCTAACATCTTCGGGTAACCCCTCCCAGGAACGTAAAAATGAATGCAAAACAGAGTATTTTAAAGAATTTGTCCATGAAAAGAGATGTACAAATTTGAAATGATCACAATATCGCTTTACTAATGATAAGAAATTATAGTGTACAGTATTGTAAGTTACCATAGCTTATTACTAAACTGTTCTTTTGATAACAAATGTACCTGTGTTGATTGCAGCTTATGGCAAACCAATAACCCCCCCTAAATTCGCCCCAGGTATCTACTGTAAGAGTGCTTTTTACGAGCTGTGTGTTCAAGGCCCAAGCAAGCGGCCAATGGCTAGAACCAAATATGAAATATTCCAATTGTTTTTACAGTTATTTTCTTTAATAGAGAATGTAGTTATATCAGTAAATGTTACCTTATTTTCACTCACTCAATCATATAAAATACTATTGCCTACTGGCTATGTTGAACTATAAACTTTTAATAATAAAATTCAATATATAATTTGAGTGAAGAAATTATTCCCCTGCTAGCATTACAATAATAATCCAATTGGATTGTGTGTACTGCAAATTTGTTTGTATTCATATTTCAATTTCATTCTAATAATAATATTGATCAACTCTACTCTCTTCTAATAATGTTTTTATTCATTATGAATTATAAAATATTTGCATATATTTAATTATATATTTTTTGTGTATATTATTATTACCAATTAGAATGTATGACGGAACAAAATTTTTCATTTTTTACTGTTGTTGGAATAAGTTTTTCTTGTGTCTTATGTTTTTCTTGAATGATTTACAAGAAAAATTTAAGATGTCTGCAGTAGCTAGCTTTGTGGAAGCTGTGTAGGATAAAGGAAATCTATTAAGTTCCTGTCAATTAGTTATCTCTGGAAGTACATCCTGAAAGACATATTTTGGTATCTTTGATGGGAAAGTAATTGTTTCCATGTTCAACCAAAATGTGTATGTACTGTATATGACTATATTATAAAAAGGCACTGATCCAATTGTCAGAATTCATTGTGGAAAAAAAAGTATTTTAAATGAAATGAACAAATATTATTAAATCTTACAACTGTAAACTAAATTTAAAAAAAAAAACTTAAATGAAACAATAATTAAAGTAGAGCAGTCACTCCAGAATGAATATCTTTGCCAATAACAATATGCATGCTGTTTATAATGGGCAAAACTGCAACATACCCTCAAGAAAACAATGGAATGGCCTGTTGTACTCAGGCACATTATTTTCTTGACTAATGCCTGAGTACATGGGGGGATTCCATTGTTTCCTTTTATGCTCGCGGCAAGAAATAAAATTTCCGTGACCTTGACCTTGTCCTTCGACCTTTTTGTTTAAAAACAAAACATTAAATACCGTAACAATCATAATTACATTTTACCTTCTTTTACATAATACATAATGTTTCTCTTCCTAATAACTTAAATATCAAGGAATTAAAAAAAATTTTACAAAAATAAACTATAAAAATTAATATTATTTAAAATGAAGTTATTTTTATTAACTTCAATTATGCTGGGTTGAACATAGCTGTTTTACATTGAGTAAAACTTATTATTGATTTTATAATATTCTAATTGTATTTCTAAACTTTCTCAGCAACAGTAGGGTTAGGAGGTGGGAGCTATCTAAAAAAATTCTGGCGAAGACAGGCGAATATATGTAAAGTCTTAGTAAAGGTCCAGGATGAAAATGCCAAGAAAAACTGGGCAACCCAGAACTCTCTTAAGATGTTTTAGATCTTGTGCCCAAATTTGTTCTTTTTTTCCCCAAACTTAATAATTATTTTTTTGCTGATGTGTCTGACTAGGAGGAGAGTTGGGAGGATGGGGGCTTCGTCTGTCCGGCTTAAGCCCCCTGTCACCACCACTTTTTCTGAAGTATTTTGAAACCAATGTATTGAGATTTAGTCTGTGTAAAACGTTGTGTGTGTATGTTTGTCTTTTGTAAGTGATTGTCACCTACAAGTAGGACAGTGATATATTTGCTTTTGACAATCCCTAGCGCGTGTTGTGCGCCAAAATAAATAATAATAATAATAATAGTTATTTTACAAGCCCTCAGCCTTCATGCTAGGTAGTCTTTTTGAATGTCTCTTTGAAGTGATTATTTCATTTCACAATTGCAATGATGGTTCCCTGGGGGGAATGTGCTTTTTGCGGTCTACTTGTTTTGTTACATATAATATTTACTTACATTGAACATTGTACAGACCAGACACATACAATAATAACTTTATCAATGAAAATAAGTGCACCATGCAATGAGTCAATTGTCGAAATGAAACGATAAAAAGAAAACTTTTCATCAAAACCTAACACGCATGCCTCATTCAAACTTGATATTATTATCCTTTTAAAATACTAAAAAAAGACATTCCTACATAGATAAATAATTGATGGGTAATTTTTTGAACATCAATTGTATAGCATCAATTTTTACCTCTCTTCAAATGATTATTTCACTTCACAATCGACCTTGCAACGGATGGTTGGTGGTGTGTATCCGGGGGAGTACGCTTTAAGTGTCTGCTTGTTTTGTTGCATACAATATTAACTTAAATAACATTGTATCAGACACATACAATATTAACTTTATCAATGACAATAAGATAAGTAATGCACCAGGCAATTAGTGCGGCTGCCCTGAAGCAAAACAACGTAACCCACATTTTTTTTCGATTTTGAGACAAAACAATTTGAAAATATATACACTCCTGAACTACATGTGTACATTTCAGATCTCAACAATGAGTCGTTTTGGAGCATAAGCTTAGCGAGCGAGCCGTCCGACCGTCTTTTGAACGGCCAACATTTATTTAGGACGTCCACTTTTACCACGACAGCTTGGGCGGCTTGGCCTGATCAGCTCGGCCTAGCCTAATTGGGCCTGGTCTACAGTACCTTTAGCAAATTCTTTAAATTCTTCAAATCTATCGATTGTTACATTAAACTAAATCTAAATTATATTTACGTTTGATAAAAACAACCTTTATTGATTGAATGTACAGTACATTGTTTTCATACCAATATTCGGTGGGGATTCCCAAAAATGTAAGGCTTAACCATTGCTAGACTTGCCACTAGTCTCTTATTTATTTTTTTTTTTCATTCTGGACAGCGCCACCAATAAGCAAGTTCTTCTTGAGACGAAATAAGGGACTTCACTGCATGCAGGTACCCGGATGCCATAAGAATGATGCAATCTTATATTCTGTATTTGGATAAATGGACGGACCGAAATAAAAGATTTCAACCAATCACTATGCTCACATTTCCAAAGTCACGAATGTGTACAGAAACCGAGTCACGTCTCACATTGAATAGTTAGGCGTGGCTAAAAAATAGTCTCCCTAATAAAACGGACCTAAAATATATAGACCCTCAGACAAGTGTGCAATGGTAAAGACGAATTAAGATTAGGCTAGATGGCCCATATTACAAACATACAGCACAACTTTCCGGGAGGATGGCCTACTAGGCCTTTGAGTCTAGTACTATCTAGTAGTAGTGAGGCCTGGGCCTACTTTAAGTTCTTACTTAATAATACAGGTTACTATTTTAACAATGTTCACCACTAATTTCATCTGCTGTTATATACCCCCAACATTCTTGTCATGAGCAATGCTCTCTCGACGATTACATTTTCTTCACCAAAACCATTTGTTTATCTTCGATTAAAAATAGGTGCCCCTAGAATTTTCCATAACATCTATTTCTATAAGCGCCCCCCCTCAATCTCCACTCTGTTTTTATAAGCGCCCTGTTTGATTAAGCGCCCTTCAAAATGAGCCAAAAATATTTTAAGCGCATGTGCACTTATTCGTGCGAGTATGGTGCCTGAGAATCAGTTTTGTAGATTAAGTAACGTTAGCATGTGTCCAGTTCTCCCGCGAGTCGCGGAAAACTTCGCAGAATCCGGATGGCTTCACACTCACCCGCAAGCAAGTACAAATCTCCCAGAAAGCAACCCATCTCTCGCAAATTCATGATGCAGTATTTGCACGCTTCTACTAATTACAGGTATCAGCTTGTAATGGTAATATCATCATGCACAGCAACAACATATTTAACACATTGACTGTCAGACCTTTTTTCAGGTTCCTTCACGTGTGTTGTACAACTAATCATCAAAATGGTATGTCTAATAAATTGGCAGGAAAATATTAGGGGACGAGTAAACTCATTGCCGGCACTTGGAAAGCACTTTTTATTGCCTCTACCAAGCGCAAGTTTTCTTTTATCCGTTTTTGCATGGGTTGGTATATATTCAGAGGCCACCCCACCACTTGTGCCATTGAGTGTACTGCCGGCAACATAACACAACAAACATACATAAGTGTACACTATTGTCTAGGTGTATCTTCCCTGAACTACCAGCCATGAAGTCTGTGGTTTTACAATGTATAACAAAGAAGTAATACACTCTAGAATATTACCCCGATTTTGTTGAGTTTAGTCATCCCTAGCGCCCTGAGCAACACCCTGTGGGATGAGTGTGCTCGTCTCTGGCAGCCAACATGTTAAACAGATCTTCTGAAAGTGGTTTCTTCCAACTTGGGATCAATGCATAGATTGTAAACTAGTACAGTAATGACTGGTGTAAAAATGAGGTGTATAATACATGTGATCTGCTAATTCTGCCATAACTTAATAATCTTCTAACCATCTAATGTAATGTAACCAAAGGGATTAAGATTGCAGTTACTAATATAATAATAATAATAATAATAATAATAATAATAATAATAATAATAACAATACAAATAATAATAACAATAACAATAACAATAATAGTAATAATAATAATAATAATAATAATAATAATAATTGTTGAATTATATAGCACATATTGTAGAGACCACTATGTTCTTAGCATTATTAATTAGATCTAGCACATATATAGAACACAGAAGCTGTAATCAGCACATTTTTGCGTTTAAACCTACTGTACCGGGTACCCACTTGCCTGAGGACACAAGCTAAATACCAAGCAAGGGATTGAACCTTCGACCTCAAGATTGAGAAGCAGAACAGCAACTGGTGCGCCAAACCGCTCCTACATTTTACAAACAATTTATCATGATCTAGAAGCACAATTTTTACCATCCTAAACCAAAAATCTCTCCTGTTAAGAATTAACAGACTTTTTCTTTTGTAGTCTGACGGTAGTAGACCTAATGCACAAGGCAACGGTAGAAGCTACTGTTACATTGTAGCTGCTGGTGGGTATCTGTGTATACATTGTATCCGCTTGTGAAAACAGTGCTGTCCCGACATCGGTTGGTAAAACAGAATTAAATGTTTATAATTTTAAAGTATTAGAAAAAAAAAATATTTACATGTGTTCCTGTTTTCCAGATTAGGTGTTTTGCATCCGAAGGAAAAGGCACAGTAAAAAATGCCTGGCAATTACAAATGAAAAAATACATGTAGTAAATAAATAATAGAAAAAATATTCCTACCTTAAAAAAATCAAAGAATGACACATGCTTCTGCTTAGGACCATAGAGTTCTTCCTTATGTTCAAAGAAAAAGAAGTTGGTGAGAGCTGCATCCATTAAGTCCGTATGATTCCTTGCTAGCTTCACAAGTTCAAGACGTTCCCTGCGACTGTCACGTCCACGCCAGAAACCCTTACTGATCTTCTCTTCCCATTTAGGTTGTGTGTTGGCTTGGACGGATAACAAATCTAAAGAAACTCTTCAAAAGAAATTTTTGTATGCAATTTGTTACATTTGTTTTACAAACATTTATACAAAAAGTTTGACTTATGTAATTTCATTATATCTTTCACAAATAATTCTAGATTTGAAAATTAGGATAGTATTAAAGATGTCCTACTTGTCAAAAAGGCAGAAAAATACCAAAAAAATTCAAACAAAATTTTGAATAGCTTATTTATAAAAGGATCAAATAAATGATTAGCTTTGAAAATATAGTTTTCACTGATTTAGGCCTACAGGAATTTTACTGCAAAAATCCTTAATTGATTACCAGCCAACTTTAAGAATTCCTGTAAAAGAATACAGGAAAGTTATTATTTAAATTTTATTAAATAAATTCACGGTTGAATTTTTTTTCTCATTCATATTTTTAATTGAAAATATAAATTAAGCAATACAGAATATGGAATTAAAATTAAGTTTATTACTTCATGACTAATAATACAATCTTTCAATGTTATCGTATTTGATTGGTGTATCATTAATAATGTCATCTTAAAAGAGTGTACGTATCCAACTCAGATCTCCTCGTGGTGCCATTTCCACATATTTTTTATTTAACTTTTTTTTTAATTTTTAAAATAATTTTTCTATACATATCAACTTTAGAAGAATAATTAGTGGGGAAAAACAGGCAAAAACAAGTCCAAAATTTCCAAGAGGTCATCCACCCATCACAATAGCAAGCTATTACCTTAACATGTGCCAAGCAAATATCTTTTTATCACAAAATAATTATCTCCTTTATTGTGTTAGGAACCATAAAAAACACAATTTTCATAGCAAATATTTACATAGCCATTTGCAGCATACCTTCCCATTGTTTCAAGTGTTGATTCAGTAACATCATATGTTGGCAAAACAATGTCGTACGTGTCGTTGGAACCACACCAGGAGAAAATTGGTAATAGACTTTCTCTGCTGGCCTTCTTCACCAAAGGCCAATCACCAAGGTTTATAAAGAACTCCATATCTGGTAATGACACCTTTTATTTGCAAAGAAATTTGAAAAGCAAAAAAATATGTAAATAAAATATACAATCTGTAACTACAGCTATTTATATATATATATATATTTTTACTTTTCTTTCCATTTTGACCACCACATACACGAATACTGTACCAAGGTTATGCACAGTAACAGAAGATGATGATGATGCATGTTATTTTAATCTAAAAAAAAATCTGGATGGGTATAACACAGGATAGGGACACTGTATTTTATACACTGTGAACATCACAGGAACAGCGAGGAATTTTTAGCATAGTAGTGTAGAAGGGGGTCCAATTCCTCCTCAGCCCATCGTGGGAACCAAGGCAATTTTAAGAATAAGGTTTATCGCGAATCCGAGCCGCAATGCGTCATGGGATAGAAAAGGGGGCAACAGCGCCGCCACGCTAGCACTTTGACAGCTGATTGTTTACATTTTACATTGACATCGCACGAGGTTCGTATAAATAAGGTATAATTCTATCGAGTTTTTACAACTTTTGGGGAGTTTTTATCATGCCAAACAGCGATCACTGTGCAGTGTGGGGATGTGATAACGATCGGAGATATCCTGAAAGGTATATATTGTTGTTTTTTTCGTAAAAAAATAATTGCTAAAACGGCCTTTTAAAGGGAGCTTCTTTGACTAAAGATGGCTATGTTTAGCATGTATGGTGGTGCATGGAAGACGTGGATATTACTACTGTAGCATAACATTTTCACAAATATCAACCTATTTTAATTATGACTGACATATTTATTTATAAGCATATTTATTACAACACTTACACATACCATGAGGTGCAGTTGTAGTCATGGAAAGTTGATTTTCAAGGAGCATTATTTTTTTTTTATTTTTTGGATACCGCCGGCACTAATTTAAAGGTTTAATGTGAAGTGTCTGATATGTAAAATTTGTTGCTAATAATATTGTTCATTTTCTCTTGTAGGTATGTTATAAAAGATCAGGTTAACACACTTCGTTTCCATCGTTGTAAGGAGCAACATTGAGCCATCGTACATTACACACGCGGTAAACATACAGCATCGTATACACACTCAGGACTTCCGGGTTCTGGGTTCAATGTTTGCCCTTTTTTCGATCCCAACATGCTTTGCGCGCAATACGCCCTCTTGCGGATTTGCCGATTCGCGATAAACCTTATAGGCACCACTTGATGCCTGGAAATAGCATTTTCAGACTGTAATATTGCTTTTTCAAAGCAGTTTTTATTGACCAAATTATTGGCTTCTTTATCAATGTGGTCGATGAAGCCGAAATGATTAGAATAGAATTTTTCAAGAGTTTTTTGAGTGAAATGTTATGGTACAGTATTGATGTCAAAATTGAGTGCTATCAAGGCGACCTTAACGACCCAGTTTTTGTGTGAAATGTAATGGTATAATAAGATCTCAAAAATTGAATTATATCATGCAACCTGGCTCAAAGACTAAGTCGGCCCATTGAGGAACCTGACCTGATTTTAAAGTCGGACCAAATTTTGTTTGCCTTTGAACTGCTTATGATTTATTGATTGTTCACACTTATAAAAAGCTGGCCCTGATCCGTCCCTGAGCCTAACAATTAAGCGTGATTGGGCTCTTTAGTGGAAGCAACAAATTTGGTCACAATAGGTAGGATTTCCCCAGATTTAAATTTATGCATGAATACACAAACACTGATATAATTATCCTAGCTCAAGAATATCATGTTTAACAAATACATATGGTATCATTTTACCGTAAATTAATAGCATTCGAAAGTGCATTCGTGTACAAGGTACTCAGACTGTACACTTTCACTAGTCTAATTGAAAAGTTAATACTTTTAAATTTCTATTACTTAATATAGATGGTTATTCTTCTATGTGAAGCTATACTTTGTCAACCATAATACAATGCCGGTGTATATTAATAACATGATTTTGGTAGACAGTTTCTATTTTTAGTATATTGAATGTTTAGCTAAAATCAATAACCAAACAATGTACTAGACATATTACTTCCATTTCGGTTTATACTAATTGAATGTTTGAATTTTAAATCCCTTCCAATTATGTTAGCTTCAGTAAATGCATCGGCTATTCCACACCAAAGTGGACCTGACTAGAAAAATAAAATTGTATAAAGATAATATTTGGCCGTGAATAGAAATATGGTACCGTACACTATCTCAGTAATCGTGTGTGTTCCTAGCTGCTGCCAACCCTAACCACTAATATCAGTACTAAGATAGTGTCCAGCAGTATTGGAGTACGGTACCGTACTGTACCTCATGCAGTAATACTGTAACAACTCCTTGGTTATATGAAGCATTGTAATATTATTTACCTACTGGTAATGGCACTTGTTTATTATATGTATTGATAAATTAGAGGCCTATTAATTATAATACATGTTTCATCTTACATCTATTTAAATTCTACATTTACAGTAGTATCACATCCCATTTATAGCCATTTGAAATGCATGATTTGAGAATTCACTGAATAAATTCTGAATGTCTGAAAGAGAATCTGTAATGTCTAGCTAGCAACAGCTGTGACTTGCTAGGCCTGTGGATTGGAGACAGCCTTCTGGGAATATCAAGACTGATTCATCAAAAAGAAAAATTTATCAACTTAGATACAATCTGAAGTTTCCATGTAAAACTACATTGTGTGAAATACAAGTACGTAAATTGTTAAAGTCATTATTTAATATTTTACAGGGCTCTATATTACTGTATATCCTGATTCATATTTTGAGATATTATGATTAAACACTTATTACTAACTGGAGTATACATATTCGGTGGCGAAATTGCGGAACCTAGAGTTTTTGTAACCCAGTACTGTAGCTATATATTATCAGAATATGACAGCCTAAATAAATACATTTAATAATAATTATCATAAAAAGGTGGCAAAGTGAGGTAATATGAGGCGATTGTTTTCACTTACAACAAACAGTTCCTTGAGAAGTGATTTCTAATGGTCCTTCTACAGTATTACACTTGTTGTTTTACAACTTTCTTGCCAATAAACTTTTATTACATTTAGAACATATAAAAAGAATTAATACTGTGTCAATAACTTAATTATTCGTCACCCATCAACTTACTTTTCGAGTCAAAGATAAAAGGAATGCATCAGAAAACATCTTAAAACCAGTGTGAAGTCCATGGGTCTTTCTATAAATCTGAAAGTGAGAATTTTTTTTTTTTTTTCAATTTAATTCATTATGAAAAATGTTATGGTAAAATATGATGCAAAGAATGTGACAGCACCAAGGAGGCATTCTCTAACTCACTTTTTCCCTAACTTACTTTTTCCCCCAACTCATTTTTTCACTAATTTATTTTCTCCTTAACTCATTTTTTATTTCTTCCAACTTATTTCCTTTTTTGCTTGCATAAATCCTAAAAATTGATCAGTCTGTTTGATAATGTACATCATTTTGTAGAGCAGAAGTATAATTATGTAGGTACAGTAAATTATATTGGTAGGGTACAGTACGGTTTTCAAAAGTCAACAAAGTCAATCTATTTTTTTATTTATTTTTATTTTATTTTTATTTATTTATTCTTTATACTGCGTTACCTCTTCAGTAAGAAGTTACTGTTCTCCCAGAGGGCCCAGTACACATAAAACATTAAAATCTCAAGAAAAACAACACAGAACATCCAAAAAGAAACAAACACAAATTAAGTAAAAAATTACCTACCCCCTGCATTCCAAATACGAGAACCCCTAAAAGTAAAGCCATAAAAACTCTCCCAGTAAACAGTACCAGGATTTTATTACTACTACAGTACCAGGATTTTATTACTACTGTAGCATGCTGACACACAGATAACATCATATCATCAAAGCAATCAACATAGTACATTCACAGTGAAATTGCTATTGTAATTCTATTTAACATGCACTTTAAAGATATTGTATGCTCAAACACAACCTAACAATTACTGTAACCATGCTGTAACTATATCAAGATATTCAAGGTCACCTTTCCATTCTGATATGAAATTCCATCCAGATGGCCCACATGCATGCATCATTTTACCCAAAAAGTAAGTGTTATGCACTGGTGGTGTAGTACTGGGTTTACATATACACACACAGTGCAAAAACAAATTACCAACATCTCCTGTATATGAAGAAATGGTGAATCCTCTTGATTTTACCACTTATTATTACAGTATGTTTGTGAATTTTAACGTTATTTTTTTACAATGTTCAGTTATCATTCATTTTGTTTGCTGAATACTGTACAGTGCTACAGTAGAGTGCTGTACTAAGAAAATAGGATACAACAAATCGTTAGATCACAACATCAGCTACTGTAATCTCATTGTTCTATGGATTAAAGCAGGGGGAAATTTCCTTCCCTCAGACTGGCCTGGACCCCTGTCGCCCGATGACACGACAAGGTCATCCGACCAAAAATAATAATTTGTAGTATCCAATATAACGATTGCTAATCCCTAAAACTGTGTTCTAACCAGCACAATTTCAGCCATACTAAAGCCATAAAAACTCTCCCAGTAAACAGTACCAGGATTTTATTACGGGAACCTGACTGAGGCTCTAGTCTGCCCCTTGGTAAGGACCCCCTGTTGGCCATTTCAGCCTGTCTGTCGGCAAATTTCTGGAGCTACCGCTGATGAGCTCAATTAACTAAATTGTACAATGAATTTTGACCAATCACTCAATATCAAGAAGTCAAAATGTTAAGTGCATGCATTAGAATGATGTGCAGACTACAGTAGCTCTATCATAAATTTCATTATTGCATAGTACTCTACCACTGTAATAATTAAAATTAACTTTTTATAGGGATCTACAGTACCCAAACATTTTAGAAAGTAATGTTCATGCTACATTTAATATTACAAGGGAAAAACAAAAACTTAATATACAGTAAGTAGATTCAGGTTCACCATGGAGTTATAAAATAAAATTAAGTAAATATCTGTATTGGTTAAACAAACTTACTCTATTATTGATAATTGTATAATGAGATAAGCTATGATGAGCTGCATATCTTGAGACAACTTGTTCTGCCAAGTTCTTTAGGTTGATGTTAGGGAAGTGGATGAGATCCTTCTCAATCTGTGGATGAACCTCCTTGCGGCACTGCATGCTCTCCAGCCATGCATCCACATCATCATTGGGACAGAAACACTTTTCATCATACACAGATCCTATCATGAATAAATATATTTTTTTATTAAGACAATTCAGAAAGGCTTTTAAAGGCTTAAATTAGGCCCAATAAACTAATGGTTAGTTTATCACCCTCATGCACATATCTTCTATGGCTCTTGAAAAAAAACAAAAAACATTTTGGAATTTTTTTTTTTTCCTATTTTATTTATTCATTTATTTTATTTTTCAGTAAATAGTAGATATTGTCTGCATTATCTCAATCGAAGTATTTTACTTTGAATATCAATGCACTAGCAAACAACCCATGGGTACTTTGGCTTTAGCAAAATAAAAATGAAAAGACTTTCTCCCTTACCACTTTTCCTGCATAAAGTAATATTTCTTTTATTGGGCCTTATGTTGAAAAGATTCAACCATACCTTCCACAATCAATACTGAAAATGATTCTAATGCTATAGACCATTTTTTCAGATTTATTTTGAAACAGCCCCACCAACGTCTCGCAACTCACTGTGGGACTTATAGCGGCCTAGCCTGAGCAGATGGCTAGTTGCAAATGGAGCACAGCGCATTGGATAGTGCCGCTAGACCTTTGTTATAGCAGCAGTAGAAAACAGATACGATCTTGCTAATTACTGTAATTTCTGTATTGTTAACATAGAAATAGGTTTTTAAGATTTAGACTTTTCTGTTTTTTTTGTGTTAGAAAAAAATGTGTTCTCGTTTTAATAGTAATTTAGTTTTATCGTTGATTTAATCCATGATGGTAACTACGTAGAGCGAAATGCTAGGCCTCTGAAAGTCCCCCAGAGGTAGTTGCCAGGTTATCAGAAAATTTCATTTCAAATTTTGTGAAAATGGTCTATAATAATCACTCACTATATTTTTCAATTATCAAAAAAGCAGCAATATGGTTTAAGGTGTGTCAAGGGGTAGCAAAAGAAGCTTAAGTTCTGTCCACTATGACATTTTCTGTGAAAAACGGGTTTTATGTCCATTGTGCCTATATTATATGGTCATGATGTATGTCACATGACCATATTTAGGAATGTCACATATTTTTGCCAATTAAAATTTGATAGTCTGGACAGGACTAGAAGGCGTTTTTTTTTTTACCTTTAATGTATTAAAAGCTTGTGTAACACCAACTCTATGCAGACATTATTAATTGGGCAAGAGATCGCCAGTGTTAGAAGTTCTTGACTGCCGAAGCATGTATCACGTACTGTATGGCACTTAAACAAGAAGACTGTATAATTGCAGTATGTCTTTAATACATTGTTTCAATTTTAACATGTTCTGTATGTATAACTTTTTGTATGAACTATATTTTGTACAGTGAACATCATTTTAAGCATTTTCTGAAAGCCATGATGGAAAGCAGCATTTGCTGATTAGTGCTTTGTAAATGAAGTTTTACTAATTACTTTAATTTGGCTGACCTACTTTAAGTCCTGAAACATTCTAAATTTGACTCTTTTTATAACCAAAACATTTTAGTACCATAATACCACATTTAGTAGTAGCTCATTGCTCACTATCTTCTAGTGAAATTTTAGTATTAGATAACAATTATATTAGAAAATTAGTTAGAAAACAATTAAAAAGATATTTTACTGAGCAAAAAAAAAATATATGGCAAATTTTCCTACTAAATCTTGAGGTGGAATTTACAACCAATAGACAACACCTTCAAAATTAAAGAATAATATAGGCAAACAGACAACGGCGGCGGCGACGACGACGACAATAACAATTAATAATAATAATAATAATTATTATTATTATTCAGCAAATTAAAAGTACAATCTTTACTTCCCTTGCTCCATCATCAAAACATACAGTAAAGGAAAAAGAGAAATAAAAATGAATAACTGATTTAAAATATACTTTACTAACAAAACTAAAAACTAATAACTAAATTAAAAATCCTGATTTGAAATTAACTCAGAATTTTTGTACAGTAAAAAAGAAAGGTAAATTTGGAAAAACAAAGAATATTGAAATATAAACAGACTAAAACACAAATTTGAAAAAAAAAGTTATGATTTTTTTTTTATAGATAATAGCTTATGGGAATAAAAATTAATTTTTTTAACTAAAATTTTTGTATACAGTAGTTAAGTTTACTATACAGCACTTTTATTTCACTTTATTTATTTCACTTGTTTCTAAACTACCATACAAAAAGTGCCGGGAACCAAGAAGGCTAAGGCCTGTAATTAGCCCCCACTCCCCCCCCCCACCCACTAATCTTTATTAAATTAATCTTAAATAACAAAACTAATCTTAAAAACAAAAACAACAACCTTTAGAAATTAGGCAAGAACATGAAAGAAAAATAATATTATTATTATTGTTTTGTGCTTTGTTATTTAATAAACACAGATATAGTAACACAGAATAAAATTGTTATTTTATTAGAAAAAAAATATGAATAAAAAATAATAAAAATGAAAAAATACATTTAATGCATTAACCTTCTAGAGCGTAAGGAGAGCCTGCAACCTGCCTATTGCCACTTTTAATTTCGATCTGCATATTGTCGTAGCTGTCAAACATCCGATAGCGTACAATGAATGATCCATCGTGTCTATCCAACATCTGCATCCAGATACGCCCTCTCCGATCTTTGGGGCTAATCTTGACCGTGTATGCATTCACCCCCGGCGACTCTGTGAAACTACATTATTTACAAAACGATTTAATTTTATAATTTTTCAAAAGATAATTATTATTTTTATATATTTATTTTTTTTATTTATTTGTTACCAAATGATCGATGACACAATAAACCACTAATAAAATTCAAAAATATGACGATACTTTTGAGAACGATCATTTCAGGCAATGCCTTAACAATTTAATAAGGCCATAGCCATTGCTAGGCCTTACGCTACATACATGTTTCGACAGATCCTACTGTCATCATCAGTGTACAGAGATTCCATATACAGTAGGCAATCTTATTTAAACAAAGTGAAGTTTGTAATACGTCAATCTATACGTAATTCAACCGTATCAAGTTGTGAACACCAAGATCATGAATAAAAACAATGTATTAATTATACAAAAGTATCGTCATATTTTTGAATTTTATTAGTGGTTTTATTTATTTATTTTTAATTTCCTATTCCTATTATTTCCTACTCTATTTACATTAATTTGATTATTACAAAAAAATGTTATTATAAAAATATAGTAAAGGGGAGAGGCAATCGGACAATAATATAGAAAATACAAGTATTAACAATATAAAAATTACAATTATTTAAAATTGAGCATAAAAAAGATCTATCAATTGCATTATAATCCAATAATTAATTAATCATTGATTATTACAAAAATATAATTATCATCTGCAAGATATCTGAATTTACAATTTAAAAAGGTAAGTTTTTAAACCAGATTTAAAACATTCACCTGACATTGACTTCCTCAAAAATTTGGAAAGACTGTTCCATTCCTTACTTACTTAAAGTATGAGAATGATGCTTGATAAACTAACCCTCTTAATATGGGTTTTGGGAGTGGAGTTGTTTTTAGTCACAAGCAAAATTCCTGCTGTGAAAGGAATTGAACCCAGAATCCTGGGATTCTGGAAAGGCAAGCAACTTTAACTACTGAGCTATTCAACTCCACTTAAAGATATTTAATAATAATTATGGTATGAAGAATAATAATAAGAAATGATACAAGATGGTAATTGACACAAAGTGTACATAGCAACAAAATTATTGGTTGCTGTGTGGAATCGATCAAATGATGTTAACTCATTCACCAATATTTAATGAGCTTCTCAATTGTGTCAAATACAGTACAGTATGTGCTTGTGTTTAAAAGGTGACTTGCTTCAACTACAGTGTAAAAGATATTCCTTGCAGTTTCTGGTATACAGAATTGTGTATCTACTAGTAGTACTGTAAAATTCATTCATTTGTTGTTTTTTTTTAAATTGGCTACGGCAGTCAGACTTCTGTGAGTTGTGAACCAGTGAGCCCGCATGAAGGGCATCAAAATGCTGGTAAACAAAGCAGCGATGCTAGTTTCTTTTGCTTTTTACTAGTTTTAGTTGAGGACATTTCATGGGTTCTTTCCCACGGTTTTCTAGTTCAAGCCTTTTCATGTTACTATCTCTAGCGCCTTGAGCAGTTTCTAAGTGTGTGCGCTACATAAATCCTATTTATTATTTATTATTATTTATTATTAAAATGAAATATAGGGGAAAAAAGAAAATATTTATTAAAGTTATAAATTTGCCACTCATTTATTTGTATGCAAGTTGGAAAAGAATGTTGCATTAATATTATTGAGCAACATATATATGTGGCAAAGACAAGCCAAACCAGTCACTCGTCGCAAATTGTGTTTCAGAGAAAATAGCAAAAACATGCTAGAATGTAAAATTTTTAAAAATCTATTTTATTTCTATAAAATGAGGTTTAGGCCCCATAAAAAAAATGATTAGTTTATCATCCCCGCGCGCATCTCTTTTGACGAAATCGCGATTTTTTTTTTTTTTTTTTACTAGATTTTTTTCATTGAAAAAACGATCGTTTGTTCGTCAAAAACAAATTTTAAGGCTGGTAAATGATGATTTTCGATCTTTAGAGTAGTCGCCAAGTAACAATATCTATTTATAGGCGATCTTTTTCATACTGCGCATGTCCACAAAGAAAGAGCGATATGACGTTCGTTGACGACTAACGGCGAACAAATCTCGAAGTTTCGCGCGCTAGCTTTGCTCTCTCTATAATATCTAGGATCAAAAAAAAAAAAAAAAAAAAAAACCTCCCTCCCTCATCAGTTTTTTTGGTCTTGATAGGATGATAAACTAATAATTTTTTTTATGGGGCCTTATCAGTGGTAGATCAAGGAAATTGAATTTGAGGGGCTCATAAATGCAGTTCTGCAGATAAAGGGTTCGACTACCTCAGCCCTGCCCTGGTTGGTACAACATTTTGCGTCTCTGGAATTTCTCAATGGCCAGAAATAGCACTTTTATACTTAAAATTTAAATATAATTTACTTTTTTCCCCATTTTAAATATTGTACTATTTTATATTTTCACAATTGTATGATGGAGGGTGGGAGTGGACTGGACCTCTTGAATATGCATATGGGGTTTTTTTTTCTTAAAATCATAATACTGTACATGAGTCATCAATTAACATATTTTTCTAAAATCATTTGGACAAACTTTAATTCTACATTTTTATTTCATAAAAATCTAAAAAATTTGAAAAACGTGTCAAAACAATACTAAATAGTCAATAACTTTGTCACAATCAAATTTGCTTCGGTTGGCACCATTCAGAACATTAATTTACAGAAAGCAGAAAGAATTACAAACAACATCAAAGTATGGAGAACTAAAGTCAGTGATCAAATCCTTGCATATGAATATTATCTAAAATATTTTCAATTCCATTTTAACAACAGTTTCATAATATTCCAATTTTCATTGTTATTAATCAGTGACAGGCTGTTATTCTCACAAACTTAAGTTATGACATTCTCTATGACATTTTTTTTAGTGGATGTGATGTACTGTATGTTGTTCTCAACTAAAAATAATAAAAAAAATTATCCAGTATTTGATTATGGATTAAAATAAATTCAAATTTATTTTCCTCTACAGTATGAAACAATTGAATGGAACTGTAGGCCTATTATTATTATTATTAAAATGATTAGAAACATTTTTAAAAATGTAATAAAAAGAAAATTAACAGCAATTTGATTATTTATAATTTACACCTTATGATTACACCTCACCTGGATATGCAAATGAGTTCAAAACGTATGGAATAGCGTAGGGTGGTTGCTAAGGAAATGACTAAGTTTACTGTAGGATTGCAATCTCGGTCCTGTGTCATCAAGGCAAGCTGTCAAACATTTGCAAGCCTTCTCTACAGGGTCTTCTC